GTAGATTCTTAATACATGATGTAATAAGATTGCATTTTAATGTTTTCTAGGATCGAAGAAAAGAAAGGAAGCTTAAAATGCTGAGTCTGATCGCGAAGAAATGGATTTCGATCGCATGGTTCGATGATCGGATTTTTGAGTTGAAACTTAGAGAGTTATGATAGATTGCTTAGGAATATGTAATAGCATAGTTTTTCATTTGAATTTTCATTGTAAGGACAAGTTTTCCCGCGCTTTTATAAATAAAATAAATTTTAATTTTGTCTTATTTATATTTCCTTGTAATGGCACTTGTGAAGATCGATGTTTATATATTTATGTTGTTGAAATAGGACATGATTCTTAGTTAAGTTAGTTGTGGTAGTGTCAGAAATTTACCAAATAAAGAAAGTTTCTCATCACCCAAGTTTCAATTGGAGAGAAGCTTGGAATCATGAAACTAGTATTGTGTGATGAATGAGAACTTTCATCTTTGAGAAATTAAGACTAATCCATTGTTCACATAAGTATGTGAGTCAAGTGAAGGACTAAAGGATCTAGTACGCATTGACGTGCACTGGTCAAGTCCAACACAAATAACAATGAAAGTTATTCGTCATGTTTTACTAAAGCAACATGGTTATGCTTACAATATTAAGTGTAATTCTGAATCATTTAAAAGTTTCAGTGTATGGCAGAACGAATGGGAAGAATCAATTAGGCAGAAAGATAAAAGTTTCTCCGATCTGAAAAGATGGGAGAGTACTTAAGTATCATGTTTTATGATCGTATTAATGATTAAGAACTATATCATAATTAATCCTCTAAGGACATCTTGGTACATTTGTATGGACAAGAAGAGGAATCCGGGAATTGTTGAAATGGTTAAATCAAAAGATGAGTCATACTTCGTTCCAAAATCAAGTCATAAAGTTGTACTCCAAGATTGTGCTTTGAGTTACATAATCTTAAGAAGGTTTATAACACTTATCAAATGTGGATTAGAAAGGTTTCTTACTCTTGCACATTTGAAATTGGTAAGTTGTGATGTCTTGGATAAGACAAAGACCAATTAAGACCAATTGTATGAAGTGTTTGTCTTGATAAGAATCCGCACTAACTCTTAAATATTTGTTTGTCAAGAAATGTTTCTGGACAAAAGAGTCCTATGTCTCAAGAGGTCAGTGGGAGTCTTAATGATCTTGAAAAGTTTCAAGGACTAATCAAGAGTAAACCTGTTGTTTATCACTAGCAAATGACTTGAGGTTTATACCTTATCATGTTGACACATTCTTGTTTCTGTGCCACTCCAGTTTTAAATCAACTATGCATGTAAGTTCTATGAGCTCTCATTTGAATGCAAAAAGGCAAAGCACCTTGATCAATGAAAGCTCATTGATCTATATAGGTGAGTTGATTAACAACTTGGAAGACGTGGCAGGCCCTTGTGCCTCTAGGTGGCAAGAAATTAAGATTGAACAAGTTCAGTCCATAAGAGCTTGGATTTGTCACAACATTGTCTTATGATTATGGTTATGACAAATTCACATGGATAGGAGCACATACACCATAAAATCTAAGTGTCATAAGGTTACTCTCTACTTCATGAAAATGATTGTGATGAAACGCTTTCACTAAGAAGATTTGAAGGAGTTAGTTGTTGTGTAAATTGTGTTCTCAAATTCGATTATGACTACGGCATCCCTCTTCATAGTTCGAATTGTGAGATATGGAAATCAGTTTGAACATTCAGGACTTACTGCTGCAAGTTCTAAAATTGTTTAGATACACATGTGAGCTATCTAAGCAAAGGTGTATGAAGTTGAGAAGCTTAGATAAAGTCTTATCCAAGCATCTTGTATCAGAAGTATGAACTTTGGTAAGGAAGTCAATAAGTATTGATTTCTAGAAGTCCAGTTGATTTCTGAATACATGTCAAAGCTAGTGGGAGCATAAGTGTCATGCTGGTAAAGAAATAATTATCATGTTCGTGGGAGCATGATTACTATGTCAAGTATTGCGAGTTATCAATATTAATTATAGAAATCAAAAGTTCAATTCGCAAAGTTACAGAGGTTGAAAAAGTTGTTTACTATAATTAAGGGAGAGAATACTATACTTCATTTCAAATCTAAAAGCTTAGATCGAGAAATTTTAATCAGATTTAGTCAAAAGGACATATATGAGTGTTATGTTTATTTCAGGTGGGTATAAAATTCCCAATTGAAGATCTCAACATCCATCTAACTTCTAGAACTTTGTAAGGTATAAAATTCCCAACTTTATTGCATTTCATCTTGGATCTAAGTGTATTTGGCGTTTTGTTCTATTTTAATGAGTTTTGAGTGAGAGTTGAGAATAAAGTTTGCAACTTTATTACTCTCCTAGGTCCCAAGAACATTTTATGTTTTAGATTTGGACTCCAACACCTTTTGATCATTGTAGAATGTTTTCTTGGACCTCGTAGACAAGGAAAGTTTTGATCTTTTGCCTTCCCTTTTAGCCATGTAAGTTATCTTGGTCATTTGGGGGTATCAAAGTTTAGATCTTGAAAGCTTGAGACATTATTTTGGATAAAGTTGGAAAATTTCTCCATCTATACATCATGTTGATTCAGATATGAAGGTTTGAGACTTGGACTTAATGGATTTAGCTGAGAAAGATGCATTCTTGGTTCCTTTAAGACTTAAAGACTAAATATTGGTTGTTTGGACCATAGTTATGGATAAAGTTGGAAATTTTATCCATTATGAAGCTATTTAGGAACTGGATCTGAGATTATGGGCCTTGGTCTGAAGAGATTAAGCGCTTAATGAAGATTTGGGCCTTCTGACCAGAAGTCACGACGTGACATAAGATGTGTCATGACATGACAGTGCCCAGAATCGTGATTGTTTTGTCATTGCATTCTCACGACATGACCAAGGAATAGTCACGATGTGACGTTGAGTTTGACTAAGCTGACCGTTAAACTCGTGGACTTTGACCGTTGACTTTTTGACCGGTTTACCTTTTGGTCAAACATGGGTAGAATTGAGTATTTGACTAAGGATTGGTCTCGGATTGGTTTTAGGAAGTTTGAGTTGGCTGTTCTGATGCTGAGTTAGTTATTGAGCTTTTGTTGAATAGTTTAGGTGATTTTCCTCACTATACTCGTGGGTCAAAGGCACCAATGTCGACCCACTATGTTGTGTTATGTATCCTGGTATATAGGATGTTGTTATATTGGTAGAGCAATATGATTACCTGTACTTACTAGTTATATATTTATGTTATCTGTTGCATATGTCAACATAGTGTGGTTTGGGTTAAGGCGATCCTGCTTTGTACTAAAGGCCAAGATACCTGGGGTGGTCCGGATAGGCTGTAAGACTTGTGAGGCGGTCCAATCAGGTTGCAGGCCCATGGAGCAGTCCAAATAGGTTGCTTGCCTTGCGAGGTGATCTAGTCAGGCTGAAGGATCATATATGCATGTTGTTATCTATTGGTTATGTGTGGTACTTTGGGGGGAACTCACTAATCTTTGGTTTACAATTTGATTTTATGGTTTCAAGTATATCAGATGATCGGGGCAAGGCGAACGTGTGATTGTACACATCATCTTGGGATTTATGTTGAGAGATGTTTTTAGGTGCTCTGATTTGATAACTCTGTTTTTAGAAACAACGTTTTATATGACTTGTGGATTTTAAAATGGTTTCGAAAAATGAAATTTTTTACTATGATTTTTGGGACGTTACAGTACAATTATGGAAAAGCTCATAAAAAGATTTTGTTAACCATATCAAATGATATAGGACCCATACAATTATTGAAAAGCTCATAAAAAGAGTTTGCTAATCAGCAAGCAACTTGAAAATGTTTTGATTTTGAAAAGCTCTCCTTGTAGTTTTGTCTTTTTGAATAGCTTTTTTCGTTTGAAAAATTCATATTGTGGATGCTTTATTGAAATGTAATGTTTGGTGAGACCACAAAAATAATTTATAAAAAAATTAGTTAAGATACCTTATTGATAAGTTCATGAGGTCTTTTACACAAGTTTTCAAATATACTTTTATATGTTTTTTTCCATAAGTTTTCTAAATATCATTTTATATATATCATCGAGTTTATCAGTTAGTTTTTACCAAAACTTTATTATTTTATGAGTAAGTTTATCAATTACCAACTAGTTTTATCAAACACATTCAGCTAGTCTGCCAAAAACATGAACTATATTAAATTACCATTTTACCCTTATATTTCAAACCAAACTTTATATTATTCATCATTTTAAACATGAAAATAATTGAAAGAAAAGAAAAAAAAAAAGGCAAATTGATTAAGATTCAACATGTTAACAAATTAAATCTGAATTTTTGGTTTAATACATAAGTGTTGTAAAAATTCCGATTAGGTCCCGATTAATCTCCTATTATTCCTTAGGCGCTACCCAACCGACTAAAAAACATCTAATGATTAATCTCCGCCTACAAAATGAGCCAAGCAGTAGAAAACGATGAATTTTTAATACTTTGAAGATATATTATCTCAATAAAAACTATTTGAGGAATGATTAATGTTGTATTAATTATATTTTAACCTATTTTGTTATAATATTAGTGGTATTTATAAACTTTGTTATAATATTAGTCATATTTAATTTTTTAAAACTCAACGAATTAGAAATTTAGAGTCCTCGCTTAATCCTCCGAGTTATCCCAATCTAACTGATTAATCTCTCGATCTCAGTCCACCAACTCGTTAATGTCAAACGTTTTTTACAACCTAACCCATTACTTAACTACTTATGTCCAACACCAAGTCAACAACATATAATTGCTCATATAAAATGTTTAACCTATTAGGGTTAAGTAAATAAACAAAGTGATATACATCAACTTTAGACCATCAAGTCATTTATCACAATATTATATGCATCTGTTTCGATCCAAAAATCAAAAGTTTAATTACTTGTTTTAGGACTAAATTGAAAAAAAAATAATAACAACATACTTTTAGTGATTTGTTTATTGTAATAATATCCTTTCATTTCTTTCTTTTACAAAATTTGTATGTTTGCACTTAAATTAAAGCAATGTTATATTATCTCTTCAAGTTTCAGAAAGAAGAGATCCCTATTACTCAAACCCATTACTCCGATGAATCTACAAGTACACTTGGAAAGATTCCACACGAACAAAGCATATGGTTTCTTTCATTCATAAATAATATTGCAACAAAAAGAATCATAGCCAAATAAAATGGCTTATATTCCTCATAATCTACTACATTACATTCCTTACACAGGTGGTAACTCTTTAACACAATCTGAAGCATCAGAAAGAAGCCTCTGATTGGCTGGTTTTAAACCCTTCCTCAGCCACCGCTTCACAAGAGCCAATTCAATTTTCCTCACCTGTAAACAATTAATTGATTACAACATTTATATTATATTTGCATCTATAAATCAAACAATATGGTAATTTTAATGCTTTGTTTCCTATTTTGACTTAAAACTATCTACATAAATTAAAACATACCTGCTTAACAATGAAAGGCTCCTCTGCAAGGCTTAATGGTGCTGTTAATATTGTAAGAAAACCATTTCTGTTTCCATAAACAATATCTGTGAAAGGACGATCACCCACCTGAAATAAACAGTATAGTTTTATTTTATTTTTTTATTAAAATTGAATACCAAATTGAAAATATTTAGAAATAACTTAAAAGTACCATTATCAGTTTTGATGAATCACATCCAAAGTGCCTCTCGATTTCTTCAGCTGAGCCAGCTGGCTTTTTCATCTCTAGAGTAATTGTAAACAAACAAATATATTTGTCAGGATTGTGATTGATTTCTCTAGAGTAATTGTAAACAAACAAATATATTGGCTCTTCTCCTAGTAAACTTTCAAGTTATTGTTCTATCATCTATGTCGTTTCTTGATTTTGTACAAGTGAGGAAAGACTTGTATGCATGTGTTCTTGATCAAACTATCACAACCAACATGAAAACCATGCAAATTATCTTAACAGATGAATCATGAAGTGAAAGAAATCAACTTTATTGACTTACTATGTCTAATTACTCGAATCCCAATGACATACTCAAGTGCTCTAGCCTTCCTGCCATCAGGGTCATACTCCTGAAGTCCTGATCACCATTAAAGAAAATCACAAACTTATCGAACACAATTAAAGAACATAATATCACCTATTGGCTTGAAAATTGAAATTAGATTACCAGCAGAGTTGCTGAAAACTGCAATGTTGTTGCCAAAAACAGATTTACAGGACTCCACAGACGATGCAAGAGGCCCCCATAGAGCTAAAGAGTAAGGAGCAGTAAGAGTATTGTCCTTATCAAAGACAACGCCTTCGAACCCCTTTCTTCTTAAGGCATCCCAATCAATGTATCTTATATCAGGGACTGATACATGAGGCATCACCCACTGCTTGTTTCTAGTTATTACCGATACTGAAAAAAGCAGTCCCTCGACGTTGATTCTCTGCCCTACTGCTGCTTTTAGGTCTGCCCACCACATGTTTGCGAAATTTCCTGTACTCGATTCACCCCTAATTCTATCTGTATTTTCTCTGATTTCGTTTCCGATGATCAATCTTCTATCGTTCTTCCGCCGTGTGCCATTGAGATAGATGGGAGGGGAATCGTAAAATCGATTCAAGAACGCCCTATCACCATCGTCGTAGTCGTCTAGGTCTCGATTTTGATGATTTTCCTTGTTGTCCTGCTCTTCGTCTCGGCTGTCTATGGCGGAGAGGGAATAAAAGATGCCGGTGGAGAACTGGGATGGGGGAATTCTCTTGTTGGAGAGACGAAGACGAAAGTGAGGGCGATCTGATGAATGGAGAAGCTTGATGGGGTTAGTGAGGAAACAGCAATGGGAGATGTGGTGTGGAGGAACCAAGGAATAGAGCATCTCTAAGCTTTTATGAGCTTATAGGAGTCTATGCCTTGAGAAACCCATTTTTCTAATGTAAACCCTGACATTGTGGAGGACCCTCAATGCGTTCTTGTTTGAAAGTGAGACCGACCTTATCATCGATTGTAGCCACTGGTTGCACACCCTAATTTAATACAAGAATCTAGGTGGGGTTTACACCAAGGTTCTCAAGATCCCAATTTCGATAGTAGATACAATTTTATTTTTGAAAACAATATTCATTGTATTAGTCGTATTTGAGATCATGGATTGGGATCGAGATAGGAAGAACAGGATCCGATCCTACTATTACATCAAAATCAAAATATGAATTCAGTTATTATCCAATTGACTTGTACCCATTTACCCACTATTTTCTTTTCAATTTTTAAACTGTAAAAGGACAAAAGGGTAAAAGTAAAAACTGCATAACTTCTTTTTCTTCCTCGACAAAATTGCAAAAATGGTATTGTCATTGGCAAAATTTTGTGGTTTTTCTCCAAAAAGTTTTGATGGTGCGCCAATGGTCTAAAATCGGATCTTTTTAGTGGTTTTGATCTCTCTACGTTTAAAAAGACAATTATACCCTGGTCTTTGTTTTTATTTTTATTTTCTATTTTAATAATTTCAAAAAAAAATAGTATTATGCTCTCATTTTTTTTTGGTGTTGCTAATAAGACACATCTTGGACACCTCATTTACCACTTTTTAAAAAGTCAACCAATAATTAACTATTTATAATCAGTTTTTCCGGAAAACAATACAATTTCAGTCAATAAAAATATTTAAAAAATAAATTAGGATGTTTATATTGCAATATGGAGTGTCTTTTTAGCCAACCTTTTTTTTTTCCAGAAAACCAATTCACACTCAATGGATACTCTTCCTAATAAATGCTCCTTCTTGTTCTCAAATTTCGATCAAAGCTAACCAAAAAATAAAAATCATAGCTTCCTCTTAAAATTAGATTGCAGGAGCCTTTAAAGTATCAATGATGAACACCCCTCCTCTTCTTCCTTAATCTATTCTTTACCTCCTTCTTTCTCAAAATCGCACAAAAGCACACCCTCTTCTCTTTTTCTACATTGGATTACCCGCTTAATCCCTCCTCTTCTTCCTGTTTTCGATTTGATCATAACCTTTCTTTTCACCATATTTTTGTTGGTGTGAAACTGTGTAAATAGCGATGAACAGGGTAGAAGAGTGTTAAAGGATCGGTAATGGTGGGTTTATGGCGGTGATTGGTGACTGATTCGTATAGGTAAATGGTTGTGGTTATGGTTGGTTTAAGGTTTGGTAACAGTGGGTTGGTGTGGAGAAATACTGTTGATTTGTGGTGCTAGTAGGTGGTGATTGGTGGCTGATTCGGGTGGTTGATGGTGAGGGTTGTTAATTGGTGTTTTTAAGGGAAATCGGTGCCTGATGGTGATAGTAAAAAGGAGGTATAAGGGTGGTAGAAGGTGGTGGTTGCTCTTTAACACACACATACACAAGAACAATTGAATTTCTAGGTTTGATTTTCAAGAACAAGCGAAGCTTAAATCATCCCACAACTTAATTGGGTCAACAGTTGCAGAGTTGAAATTGGAGCTGAAGAACGAGCATTGTCGGTGTGGTGATGAACAGATAGGGGCGGCAGTGGCAGGAGGGTCACATGGCGACAGTTGGGAGAAATACGGGGGTGGGGTCTGTGGAAGAAGGGCCCGATTCATAATAGAAGTAGAAGAAGGGTGATAGATCATCATCACAAAATTGTTTCTCATTCTCTTGGAAACCTGCAACTCGATAAAAAATGGAAGAAGAAAAAGAGATAGATGAAGTGGAAGTAGAGGTGGGGTAGGATGTGATATAGGGGTGTGTTCGGTGGGTGGGTTTATTTTTTTAGGTATTTTTACAATCAACATAAAAAAAATTATAATTAAAAGAAATTTTAAAAAAAGAATATTTGTCATTTCAGGTAGGGCATGGATCAAAACCACAACAAATTGATAACCATAGGGACCAAAACCATACAAGGTATCTAAAATTGGACCACTGATACACCAACAAGCTTTTTTGGACCAAAACTATAAAATTTTGCCAACCATAGGGACCATTTTTTCAATTTTGTCTTCTTCCTCCAACCACTTATGAAACTTGTCCTAACCTCTCAGAAATCAAAGAAAAATATGGAAGAACTCAAAACAAAAATCAAAAACAACTCAAAAAGTTCAAAGTCTCGTTGAGTGTTGTTTTGTTTATGTACATGTTCATTTCTTGATATGATCTTCATTTTGATATCAAAGTCAATCGTCTTTACAAGTTCTAATTTTTGTATACATTTTCATGTTTTAATTGTTGCCTTTTGTATTTCTACATGGTTAGTTAGATAGAAATTACAACAATAGACATTGGAGTATTTGTAGGGTCGTAATTAAAATCTTGATCAAAAATAAAAATGAAAAAAATTGTACTTAGGATCATGATCTTGATAACCTTAGTTTAAACTTTAAATTATATGTATGTAAATAGTAACAAACAAAAATGATGCATTATATTTTTTCTTAATATTTTGGATAAAATGAAACAATCATCTGTCGTAATTGTCTTTTATATTTTTATTTGGGTTAAATCAATGTTACAACCCATGGAGCCTAAGGAATATGGAAGGTCATGCACATTAGGGTTTACATGGTGTAACTCTAATATTACCACATTATATAAGAAGCCCCTTAGCATCCAAAATTGACTACTAGACACACTAGTGATCCTTGGAGTTCCATGAGTCGATTTTGGTGCAAGAAATACTCCCTCAAAAGTCTCCTTTGTTCTAGGTGTGTTGTGATTCCATTTGAGGTGCAACACTTGGGGCACTAAGTTCTTAAAAGGCCAAACTCAAGAAGTTCTACAAGCTACAACAAAGATGTAACTCTATAACTAAATTCCATGTTGTTTATATCAATTGTATGATAGTTGTAGGCTTAATGCTTTGGAAACAATATTGCATGTATAATTAGAGAAAACATAGATCCAAAGCATTTAGGGTTGTATGTGCACCATAGGATGTTGTAGTATACTAAAACCCTTTAATATGATGGCTGTTATGTTAGTGATCCATTAGATCAGTATCCTGGTTATAAGATGGTTGCTATGTTAGTGATCAGTTAGATCAGTATCTTGGTTATAGGATGGTTGCTATGTTAGTGATCGGTTAGATCGGTATCTTGGTTATAGGATGGTTGCCAAGATTAGTGATCTGTTAGATTTGTATGACTATCTGTACTTGCTAGCTAGCGTATGATATGTATGTACACATGTTTGTTGGTTTGGGGGATTGGGTAGAGGCAGGTCCTGCTTTGTGCTGTAGGCCAAGATACCCAGGGCGGACCGGATAGACTACAAACCCGGTTAGGGCATACTAGTCAGGCCGAAGGCCCGAAGAGCGATCCGGATAGGCTGAAGGCCCTGAGAGGTGGTCCAGACGTGCCGATGGCTCGGAGAGCGGTCCAGATAGACTGATGGCATGTGAGGCGGTCCAGTCAGACTGATGGTTCATTATGCATGATGTGTTTGTTTATATGATATGGTTATATATGTATGGCGTTGGTATTTTGGGGGAACTCACTAAGCTTCAGGCTTACAGTTGTTCATTTTGTTTCAGGTACTTCTAATGATTACGGGAAGGCAAAGGCGTGATCGTACACTTCCTTATGTTTTTATGATTTGATTTTGGGATACTTGATGTTTAAATTATTTTGAAAACAAATTGTAATAACTTAATGGTTTTAAATGTTTTAAAAAAGTTTTAAATTGTTTTGAATTTTATGGGTGTTACAGATGGAGAAACTCGACGAGTTGAAGGACAACTCGGTGAGTTGGGTCAACTTGGACCGTTGACTTTGACTTTTGACTTATGTCTTTGACCAAGTTTGTCCCAAGGGGTGTTTGTGGTAACCTGTTTTGGATTTAAGGAAAATATAGGCTTAGGATAAGACCCATATGGGGTTGGGCCCAATTTGGAAAATTAGGCCATTAGTGGGCCTTTGTGGATCTTTTGGTTTGGGCCATAGTTTTGGTGCATGTTGGGTCAGGGGTAAAATGGTCATTTTACCCCAAGTATGGATTATGAATTATGACATGGAAACCAATTTCTAATTGGGTGTGTTAATTGGTATTGATAACTCGGAAGCCGACAGGGCAGCAACTAAGGACTTTCTTTCGGGGAGCTTCTGTATTTGAGGTGAGTTTTCTTCACTGTACTTTCGGGTCGAAGGCACCAAGCCCGGCCCTTTGGTTGATAGCATGATATTGTTGAGATGCCGAGTATGGAATAGATATGCATGCTAGTATGGTTATGTTGGTCTTGATATGTTAGTCTGGTAGATCTGTAGGACTACCCGTGACACTGTCTGTTTATCTGTGTATGATATTATCTATTATATGTCGATATATTGTGCGGGTTGGGTTGAGGTTGTATTGCTTTGTGTTGTAGCCAACAAACCGTGGAGTATGCCAGATATGAGTTGAGGGTCAGGGAGGGCATGCTAAGATCGTACTGAGGGCTACTCACTGGTATTCCAGTCCAAGAGAGAGCAAGCCAAGCATAAGTTGCAGGCCCAAGGGCAAGCCAGACTTATGTTGTGGGCTCGGGAGCAAGCCAGATATGAGTTGTGGGCCTGATAGGAAAGCCAGACTCATACTGTGGGCTCAAGGGGTAATCTGGTCTTTTAGTTATGGACCCAATACATGTTGTTATTTGTATATGTTATCTGTTTGGGTGTTGGTATTTTGGGGGAACTCAAACTCACTAAGCTTCATGCTTACAGTTTTGGTTTAAGGTTTCAGGTACTTCAGTGGATCGTGACAAGGTGAAGGCGTGACCGTACACATCCTCGTGTTTTTGGACTTATGTTTTATGGGAAACTCTGATAATATGAATGTTTTGAAAACTATGTTGAAAGAGATTCTGATTTTTAAATAATGATTTGGGAATAACGGTTTTTGTAAGCACTTCTATAGAAAAAGGGTTGTTTTGAAAAGTTCAAATTTTATGAAAATTTGGGGATGTTTCATTATAACCATGTAATAGCTTGGATTGATTATAAGATAGCGATAAATGATTTATTGATGTATTATATAATCAATATATTACTTAGAAATAATAATAGTTAATTAAGAATTAATCAAGATTAATTTGGAATTAATTCTGGGTTAAATATAATTAATTAGAGGTACAGGGACTGGACTACAATTTTCCAGTAGTTGAATAAAGGAGGAATTTCGTAACCTTCTATAGGTGGCTCTTCTATAAGGATTCTGGAAGCCTCG